AATAATTTTATTTTTAGTCTTAAAAATAATTCCGAAAATTTTAGAAAAAATGCAAAAAAATTGCTTTTTTTTTTTAATTCTCCCACTGTAGCCTCCATTCAAATATTTATATATATATTGAAATTAAACAAATGTAACCCTTTTTTTAACCCATCCCAAGTTATGTGTTAAAAATTTAGTTGATAAATTTAACTAGTTGGGAAGAGGTTGAGAGCCATTCATCTAGGATGTTTGGCTTATCAGAAATTATTTGCCAAAGCATTACTTGATAGCATTAACTTGAGTAATAGAAGATGAATAAAATCCACCAAAGACATGCGACTTATCCGAAATTATTTGTCAAAGTGTTATTTGATAATTCAATGATTGAGATACAATGAACATTATGTATTTCATGAATCAAGGACAATGATTATATTTTGTTAGATCATAGTTCATTTGGGATAACCATTGTGATCAGGTTTGGAAAAGAAGACATTAATAATAACGAGTTGAGCAAAAGAAAATTTATTATCTTAGAAAAGGCAATACATAACTTAAGAGACACGAGGGAAACATAATAGTCAATCCAAAAAATATTTAAGATATATAATAGGTGTCTTTGTTAATAGTTACTAATAATATTTGCAAAGATTCTCAATATTTCAAGTCTGACGTAGTATTTTTTCATCAGCATTTTTTAGCTTGAATGTTCCTAACTTAATCATAGGTTTTATTATATAAGGGTTTTCCCATATGGGGGAGAGTTTATTGCATTGGGGTCCTTTCCTGAATAGAACTAAGTCTCCAATGGAGATGTATCGAAGTTTCACCCTTCGGTTGTAGTGGCGAATTATTCTTTGGTGGTAAGAAGCAATTTTAAGTAAGGTCATGTCTCTTATTTATGGGAGAAGATTGTTATGCCGCCGGCCCAAGAGGGGCCGGCTGGACCGATCCAGCCTGGACCGGTCCACGTTTACTCTAGACGGCCCAAGCTGGTCTGAAATCAGGCAGAGAAGGGGGGGGGGGGGGGGGATTTTTCTGGGCCCCCGAATAAAATTAGCTCTTGTGGGCCCAAGCAATGAATGTATTAAACTTTAGGAGGGAAAATTTGAATTAAGGGGCTGTTTAGGGATTTTTAATTAGTCCTTTTGCTTTAATTAGGAGAAGGGTGTGAGTTAGGGTTTCATCTTGAGATTGGCTGAAATTTTCAGATCTCCCTTTGTTTTGGGCTCTAGGCTTTGCTAGAGACGTGTGGAGAGTTGTTCTTCCTCTCGAATTGAAGAATGTTGTATCCGTTATTGTTTTTCTTGCATCTACTATTGAAATCATTGATTTCTCTTCCAATTCTCCACTGTTTTATTGCAAAACCTGCTGTGTGGCTACTGGATATATGTGAAAATAGCAGTTTTCCCGTTGTTTTTGTACTAATTTCGAGTAGGTTTGCTTGTGAACTCAAGTATTACCTTAGGGTTACTTGCAAACTCAAGTATTTCCTTAGGGTATCAAAGATCTAGGTTATTTCGGAGTTTCTCATCATTATTATTGAAATCAAAAGTCTAGACTATAAGGCTTGGGACTCCAATATCAACCGTGATGATTGTCTCTGCACCAAGGAAAGGTTATACGGTGTTTCCCTTTCTAGAGTCTTAGAAGTAGAGCGGTAGGCCCAGAGGATATTGAGGAGTTCATCAACCCATTGTCCCTAGCCTTCTCGAGGTGCATCTTCAATCCCTTAAGTATAGTTCAGTTCATAACCTCAATCTACCCATTTGCCTGGGGATTGGCCACGGCCGCGTGCACTAATTGAATATTTCATATCCCTGCAGAACACTGTAAAGATTTATCCAATGAATTAAGTTCCATTGTTAGTGATGATCTTCACAAGAAAGTCAAAATGACATACTATATTTTTTCAAATAAATTGTTTAACATTTGCTTTCATATTTTTTTCCATGGATTTGGCCTCTACACATTTGATGAAATAGTCCACAATCAAGATGATACATTTTCGTTGTCCAATAGCGACATGAAAGGGCCCCATTATATCAATTCCCCATTTAAAAAAAAAAAGGTCATAGGCATTGAAGTGATGAGAGATCTATGGCAAGTGAATAGTGATTGGAGTGTAGCTGGTAGTTGTTGCTTTTTTATGTAAATTTTAGTGCATCTTACTTCATTGTGGGCCAGTAGAATCATTTTTTCATAATTGTAATTGTTATTAGCATTCCTACTAACTATTCTTCGCATATGCTTGAATGACTATCACAGCACATAATCAACTTCTAAGAGTGGGAGACATTTACGTTATGGCCCAGTAAAGGCTTGTTTATTTGATTTTTCACTAATGATGGTGAAGTTCACCATTTTTGTTCGAATCATATTACATCTATTGGGTTTTAAGGTAAAGTCCCATTTTGTAAGAAGGATAAGATAGGATCAATCTTAGAGTGCTTTCTTGACTTGCCGATCGATTGCATAACTCAAGATCCTTAAATACTAGGAAAGTATGTTTCTTCCATATACTTTCTCTCGAAATATCCTCGGTCATTATTGTAGTAACTTTTAAGAGGGTTTCAGAGCATTCTGCTCTCGGAGTATATGGATGATTTGATACTTCTTTCTGTGGGTGAAAAGAAACTTCACTAGATTGAAATACTATGCTAATTGTGGATTATGAGCATCAAATTCTCCCTCCACATGAGAGATAACGAGTTACAAATCAGTATGAATTATCAAATTTGGACTTCATAATCTATAGCAAGCCTTAGTCTAGCAGTGAGGGCTTCATACTCGACAACATTATTAATTGCGGGGAACTTCAATCGGAGTTCATATTCTAAGGTAACATGTTAAGGGGTGATCAATAAAATCTCATCCCCAGTGCTAGAACTCTTAGAAGCTCCATCGACATATAAGGTCTAGGAAGGGGAAATGGAAAAAAGGGAAGGCAGTTCATCGGAGATAGTGATTGTGCATTCAACCATAGAGTATGCAAGTAGTTGTTACTTGATGTTAGGTATGGGTAAGAAATATATGTCAAATTCTTCTAACTCCACCGACCATTTGATTAATCTTCTAGAAGCCTCATATTTTTTACTGATATTTTTAATAGGAGATTTGTATATATCCCAATTATATGAGCTTGAAAATATGGATATAATTTTCTAGCTAAAAAGACTAATGTCAATGCTCTTTAATCTGTCAATGAATAGCATCCCTCCATCTCAAAAAGGATCTTATTTACATAATAAATAAGATTTTGTATAACATTATCTTCTTAGACCATGACTATGCTTATAAAATGCAAAGAGATAGTCAGATGCTTGTATAACATTTCTCTCAGTATTTACTTTGAAAGTAGTAGAGGTAAGGCCAAATATGTTCGAAGAGTTGGTAGAAGAGAGCATATGAGGCTCGCTAAATATGCATTATTATTCTATAGTGATCAATATGTTCATAAGAGTAAGACAACCCATCTTAAGATTATATGATAGGATATTTGAAACTCGTTAGAATGGGGTGTTAAAGGATAGCTTCAGTAAAGGGCGACGACTCCTAAAAGTCTCTTATGATAAAAGGGTTGCCTTCCACCTCTTAAAGAGAACTCCTCTTGGATCAGTCGTTGTAGTTCATTACATAAATTGTTGTGCGAGATTTTAGCGAGGTGAGGTTGGACCAAGTCCTCGATGACAGCCAGAGGAAAATGGGTTGGTCAGCCCGTCCGAGAGTGATAGGTAGACATGTCGATAAGGTACGATGTTTTTTTTGTGATCCCTTAGTTAAGGGTGAGGGGTTATGCGTGAATATTTTCAAGTTGAATATCCTCGACCAGTGGAAAATCTCAAGGTAGACAGGTACCCTCTTGATGTGTTGTTGCTTAAGTTCGAATCACTTGTAAAAGTTGAAGGATTTCATTATGAGATTCGTCCAATTTACGAGTGCAGTCTTCCAAGGATGGTCCTGATGTCTCTTCCCCAAAAAATTTTTCCAGTCAGGGAAGAAAGAGGCTGATGTCTAGCATCCATGATTCATAGATTGATTCATGAATTGATGTTTGTTGGAGTAGGAGGCTCCATTTGTGCTATTATTACGCCTCTTGACCATTGAATGTTTGTCAATTTTGCTTACAATAGTGATTCAGAAAATTTCGGTTCAGATATTCATTATAATTTTGATTATTATTGGCTTTTGATTTTTTATTGTATTTTTTTACTTTTATAAAATTGATAAAAAAAACTAAATTATACAAATTAATTCTATCATTAAATAAATAATTGATAATAAACAAATGACATAAATATCAATGTGATTATTATTTATTCTATGTCAAAATTACAAGTTTCAATAACGACAACTTCATATTTTCTTAAGAGATCCTATTTAAGTTTGTAATATTTTGATTCATTACTAAGTAGATTTTTATTTTCCTTTAGTCAGAACAAATCGAATTAATCGATTTAATTTAGTTCAATATAATACACGCCTCATCTTGATATGTTGATTGAGAGCTTTAGCTACTAATCAAAAGGCCTTGAGTTCAACACTTGCATATGGGATGTGTGTGTGAGCTTGTCTTAATTAGCCTAAATCTCTGCAAAAAAAAGAAAAATAATCTAATCGTTTTTAATTTCCTAAAATTTAAAAATAAAACTTATTGGTTTTCCTAATATGCAAATCAAAACAATCAAATTGACCAACAAATATTATTAATCAATGATTAAGTTTTGAGTTATAAATATTTAAATTAACTCTTAAAGCTTAAGATTTTAAATAAAAAATAAAATTTGATCAATTGATGTATGAGATAGGCCTAATATTTATCATTTTTATCCCCTTTAATAAAATAAAATAATATAATATGATGAATTCTATTTAATTCCCCTTTAAGTAAAAGCCATCCATGAACCTTAAAATAGGAGGTTAACGTTAATATTAGTCTACTTCAAATGTCTAAAATTACAAATTGTTGTAATTAATTTTCAGGTCTCTAATGGAAGATTACGGGAAACATATGGTGCGCATTGTGAGAACCCTATTCGAATCAATGGCGCTGGATCTCAAACTGGATCCCAATCTTTTAGATTCGTGCATGGATCCATCTAACGGCATCTTTCGAATGTACCGTTACCCTTGCTTACCCAAGGCTCAAAGCTGCTTAGGAATGGGAGCTCATACAGATAGCTCAGTCTTGACTGTGGTAGACCAGGATGATGTTGGTGGCTTGGAGATCCTCCATGATGGTTCATGGTTCCATATAATGCCAGTTGCTAACACTCTCATCGTCAACACTGGTGATATGTTGCAGGTAGGGGCTATAGGGCTACGAGCATAACTCAACCATCGAAGATCGCTTGAAAATTGAATTGATTATTGGCTTAAATTGAGGTTTTGTTTGGGACGACTTTCTTATTGCTTCTTAAAGCATCTTTTTGGTTAAAAAATTTTAATTTTTATACTAAAAAGCCACTTTAAGAAGCAGGAAAAAAGCCGTCCCAAACAAAACTGAGCCAAATGAGCTGAAATAAGAGCTAGGTTTTGAGCCGATTTTGAGCTGGGCTTGGATCGAATCTAACTGGCTTAATCTTAGCTCAATATATATATATATTTTTTAAGATTAATACATGTATGTATGTTACAATTATACATAGATGCTATTTAATATTAAAAAAAACTAAAAATGGGAATTAATTTTTTTCAAGCCAGCTTTAAATCAAGCTAATTCAAGCTAAGCTAGCTCAAAATTGAATCAATCAAGCTACGAGTCAATTTTGAGCCTGCTTTGATAGATTTAGCCTTTGTTTGTGATGACTTTCTTATTGCTTCTTAAAGAAGTTTTCTAGTAAATTTTTTTGTACTAGAAAGCTGCTTTAAGAAGCAACAAGAAAGTCGTCCCAAACGAAACCTTAATCTATTTTTGTGCAGAGATGGGATCGGCTTGAAATAAAATCATTCTCGCCAAATTGAGAAATTGCTAAGCATGGTTCAATTTGCTTTATTTCATAGTGATAATGTTGATGATGATATAATGATAATGATGTTGCAGGCAATCAGCAACGACGAATATAAAAGTGTGGAACATAGAGTGCTAGCTAATGGAACCAAGGAGAGGATGTCTTTGTGCTTCTTTGTTTTTCCTAAGGAGGATTTCAAGATCAGGAGCTCGAGTTACAGAGAGTTCACTTACAGTGAGTTCAAGGCTCAGGTGCAGGAAGACATTAAGGAAACTGGCGATAAAGTTGGGTTGAAGAAATTCAGGCTGTAATGGATGAAAAAATCTCTGGATTTTGAATGATTAAAGGCTTACATTTGTTTTCATTTGGTTAGTCATCTTTATTTTTGTGTTGCACTAATTTGAGATTATGATTTGGTATGTTGGAGATGCTTTTATGATTTAATTGTTTAATGCTTCAATTAAGTTTTTGCTTATTTGGTAATTGTTTAGCAGTTAGGCTCATTAATTAATTACAACATAGAGAGAAATTATGGGGTCAAAAAACTGATTCAATCTGACTCCAAATGAGCCTAAATCAAGCGCCTGAAGCGATATTTAAAATTTTGTGATATTAATTGAAGGACCAGACCATCATTGAATCTTGCATACTTATATTCAAATCAAACATCTCAGTAAGAGAAATTTGATGAGCACATGATTACTCAATTTTGAGGGCATTAAGGTACTCGAAAGATGAACGAATGATCTATAATCAAGCGAATTAATATGGACAAACTAATAGTTTATTTTAGAATTATAATTAAATTTGATAGAATGCTACTCTAAAAATTTATAAATAGACCTAATATTTTTCACATGAATGGAAGATTTAACCTTCACTTGAAATTATAGAGACTATAGATCTAAAGAACTGTTGAGCACCACCTGACATTTGACAATGACGAAAACTTCCAACAACCATAGTTGTCAAAATGCTATCGTTCATCCATCACCGCCCATCTATTATAGCCCAATCACTTTCACCCAAATATCATCGCTCGATTTCCATTCTTGATTTTATATTATGGGTTTCGTCATCCAACCACTATCGTCTAACCATTAATACTTAATTTTTTTTTTTTTCGAATGAATTTCTTATGTTTTATATTTTTTAAAGTAAGGAAGTTGCATCGATGGATTTTAAAAATATTCAAAAATCAAAATTGCAAACTGTGGAAAAATATTACCACATAGATTCAATGTGTTCTCCTATTTTGTGATCAAATGCTACATTGAGAATAACATATCATTTTGAGAGACGGACACATTATTCTACAATGGATTCAATAATAAAATATGATTTTAGAAAATATCTTTTCTATAATCAAGCACATTCAAGGAAATAAATTTTCATCTTGAAAGATAAACATGATGTCCTATTGAACTGTTTGAAGAGAGAAATGAGGTTTTAAAAATTTTTCATTCTTATGATTAGATACAACGACGAGAATAGTATATCATCTCGAGAGATGAAGATAGTATTTTGTGAATGATTTAGAAGTAAGAATGGGTTTTGACAAAAAAGCATCATTTTTATGATCAAATATGACAAAGAGAATATCATATCATCTTGAATGATGGCAATGACATTCTACAAAGGTATTTGAAAATTGGGATTTGGAAAAACTATCTATATTTTTAGAGATCTTTCTTCTACCTTACGAGAATAAGATAGTGTTTATTTTACTCTAGAGTTCCAATTTCCCCATAAAGGCAAGTCTCTATAGTTAATTATATCCCAAGAGAGGTGAATCTCCCAAAAAAGCTCTTGATTAAACTAGTGTAAATATTTTTAGGATCTCAAAGTTTAAGGTAAGGATAAAAACATTTGGAATTTCAAAAGAGAATGACTCAAGGATGAGTAGTTCATACTTAGGAAATGAGGACTTATAATACACTACAGGAAAATCCGTCATTACCGGCGGACTAAATCCGCCGGAACACACAGAAATCCGACGGAAATATAAGTTTCCGGCGCACGTTTCGGCGGAAATTCCTACGCCGGTTTAGGTTGCGTCGATAAATTTAGGACTTATAATATAGGAATCAGCCTTGAAACCTAAAATAAGGTGAGCCACTGTATGGTAGTGACTTGAACCTAATCTAATGCAATGCAATGAGACTTATATCTCTTTCCCCACTATGGATTTAAGAAAGACTTACTCTTCTGAACTCATAATCATGTTTGGATAGGATTGCCAGCTAAACTCCACAGAGTACATTAAAACCATAATGTCCAATCTCATGAAATGCAAGATAGGATAGGCTATTGTTTAATTAGTATTTTGGGAACGACATCTGAGAAGAAATAAAAGACCCCAGATAATCAATGATAGATCATGCTTCTAGAACTAAATGTGATTAATTTTTTTAGTTTTTTTGTGAGTTGTTAATGCAATGCATGCTAGATATATGAAAAAAATTATATACTTGAAATTATAAGAAGTCTTAAAAACATATTTTATCCTATTAAGCAGGCATTGCGCCGTTCTTACCGGCGCAAAATTTTCCGCCGGAAAATCCGACGGTAATCGCGTGTTTTCCCGTAGTGATATAGGAATTAGCCTTGAAACCTAAAATAAGGTGAGCCACTGTATGGTAGTGACTTGAACCTAATATAATTAAATGCAATGAGACTTATACCTCTTTCCCCACTATGGGTTTAAGAAAGACCTACTTTTCTGAACTCATAATCATATTTGGATATGATTGCCAGCTAAACTCCACAGAGTACATTAAAACCATAATGTCCAATCTCCTGAAATGCAAGATAGGATAGGCTATTATTTAATTAGTATTTTGGGAACGACCTCTGAGAAGAAATAAAAGGCCCCAGACAATCAGTGATAGATCATGCTTCTATAACTAAATGTGATTAATATTTTTTTAGCTTTTTTGTGAGTTGTTAATGCAATGCATGCTAGATATATGAAAAAAATTATATACTTGAAATTATAAGAAGTCTTAAAAATATATTTTATCCTATTAAACAGGCATCCCTTGAGACAAAACAACACCCTCATGTATTAGGTGGTCTATTTCTATCGACGGGCAAGGAGGTGTCTAAAGAAAGAATAGAAGCAATATGATATGGCCGAATGTCATTTACATCCTTCTACATGTTTATTTTTCTATGTTATTTAAGAAGTTTATATTTTATTTTGACTAGAATAAATTTCTCTAATGACTAACAAGAGCTAATCTCCAAGCTTCCCTAAGCAAGCATGCACGTGTTCGTCGCACTCCACCTATGTTTTGTATAAAATCAATAAGTTATCATATGTATAAATTATGGGGTTTGAAGTGTCGGTCGATGTTCTAATGTCAATTATTTTATTTCCTAACTAAGAGTCTTAGTTTTTAGTTCTGGTCAAAGTTATGACCAAGTGTCTTTTATTTTTATTTTGAGTTATAATTTACCATTAGTGATTTAATATTTACAATGGAATACAAAAATAAATTATAATATAAAACATGAAAAGAAAAATAAAAGTAAACATCACATAAGAGTATGTAAGAAATATATAATAAAAGGTAAAGATCCAAACCTAAGGGTAAGACTAGTGGCCTATATGCAATATCTAATGTGCTAGGTTGTGGAAGTGGTTGACCCTACTATTAGTTTGGGGTTTCAATTTTTAATTTTAACAACAACAACAACAACAACAACAAGTCTTTATCCCACTATGTGAGGTTGGATACATGAATCCTTTTTCTCCATTGTGTCATGTTAAGAGTTAAATTCTCATTTAAATCTAATAAAGAAAGGTTATTTCAAATATTTTCTAACCAAGTCTTTTTAGGTCTACCTCTACCTTTCTTAACATAGGCGAAATCTAATAGATCTATTCTTCTTAGGGGTTCATCGGAAGTCCAATGTTTTACATGACCAAACCATCTAAGGTGACTCTCAATAATCTTATCTATCACCAGAACTACAACCTTTTCCCAAATATGCTCATTTCATATCATGTCTATAAGAGTAAGTCCACTCATCCACCTGAGCATCCTTATCTTAGAAACACTTAAGTTAATAGTATGCTTCTCTTTTAATGGCTAACATTATGTGCCATAAAGCATTTTAGGTCTCACCACCATCTTATAAAATTATCCCTTAAGATTGAGTGATACTTTTCAATAACACAACAAACCCAAAGCATTCCTTCCCTTCAACCATCTAGCTTGAATTCTACTAATAATATCCACATCTATTTCACCACCACTTTGAACAATAGACCAAAGATATCTAAAATGAGTACACTTATTAATGAATTGATTGCTTAAATTCATAAACCCCCACTAGATCTATTACTACTAAAATTACACTCAATGTATTTAGTTTTAGATTTACTCATCTTCATTGAAAATAATGCTCGTTCGATCGTTGATGTAGTAATTGAAAATATCAAAATAAGCTTTATAAGTAGAAACATAAAAAATAATATACATTATTAACTTATTTTTAACTTACTTGTTTCGAGACTTCTAATCTTCTCATAAATGTAGATGATTCAAAATTATTGAAATAATGACACTTCAATAAATTGATAATGAAATCAAATTTAATTAAAAAAAATAACAACGTCATAAAAACTAAATAAAATGAATTTTCAGAAATTAGTAAAACCTATTTATGAAATAGAATAGAAATTACATTAGTAAGCTGCTTTTAACACAAAAAATAAAATAGAGATGCTTTTAACACAAAAACTATATAAACATACAAATAATAAATTTTCTAAAATTAAAATTTGAATGATTTTAAATTTAATTTTGGAAATTTTTGATTCAAATATCATTTCACATTTTATTCTTCATTAAATAAATTTTATTGTGATATATCAATTATCCACTCAAATAAAAAATCTCAATTCTTGCCCAGGCAACCAAAATGACAAGTTGCTACCAACTTCATTCTCAAATCTCAATAAATTACTAAGATAAAATGTTTTAAATAGGGCTAATCCATCTCTATCTCCACTGTAGTTACATTGTTTTAGCATAGTTCTGCATTCTTGGCATTTCTTCCTTAAAAAAAAAGAAAAAAACATAGAAAACACTAGCCGCGAGCTCTCCCAAATTTCTCCTTATATATATAAGATAGAGAGATGGAATAGGGAGAGATATATAGAGAAAGAGAGAGATAAAAATGCATATCATAAATTTCCAAGAACACAAGCAACTGCCAACGTATGTGAAAGAATATATAAATTTTATTATCGAGGGAAATCTTGATGAACATGGAAGGAAAAAACTACCTAATATCATTACTTTTGTATTGCCATACATAATATATATTAGGTTAAACGTAGCTTGCCAGTGGGGGCCCATGCACCATGGCCCCCAGCATAAATCCACCACTGCTTATACCAATTTTCCCT